ACTTTATGCTGTTAAAAGGGTCACTTTGTGATGTTAAAAGGGTCACTTTGTGATGTTAAAAGGGTCACTTTATGCTGTGAAAAGAGTCAGTGTATGTTGTTAAATGAATAACTTTTTCAGTTAGAAGGGTCACTTTTTGCATATAAAAGGGTCACTTTATGCTGTTAAAAGGGTCACTTTATGCTGTTAAAAGGGTCACTTTGTGATGTTAAAAGGGTCACTTTGTGCTGTTAAAAGGGTTACTTTGTGCTGTTAAAAGGGTCACTTTGTGCTGTTAAAAGTGTCATTTGTGCACATTATTCTATATTTTTCCATGAGTAATTTCTGAATTTGTATTTATATTACTTTAATAATTAAATACAGATGGTTCAATAGGTGGTTATCGTTATAAAAAGCCTACAAAAGGAAAAGGAAAGCCTAAAGAGCCTGCTAAGCCTAAACCAGTACCAAAAAAGACCCAGATAGCTCCTGAGAAGAGCAAAGCAGTATCTAAAAAGGCCGGGAAAATTCCTGAGAGTGACAAACCAGAGTCTGAGAAGGCCAAAATAGTTCCTAAGAAGGCCAAAATTGTACCTAAGAAAGCTAATACAGTGGAAGATTCTGATTATGAAATGCTTTCTGAATCTGATTCTGAATCTGTTATGTATGTATACATATTTTTTTATTACATTTTTAATTATATTTTGTTTTTATTTTATATTGTTTTAGTTACATTTTCTTTCTTTTTTTTTCTATTTAGGGAGAGCAAAGAAGAATCATTGCAAGATGTAGACCCTATTCATTGGAAATATTGCTGCAGAACTTTAGTCCTGAGCAAAAACAGGCTGTTGAAGAAATTGGTTTTGGAGGTTTATTACATCTTAAATTGAAAACTCTTAATCGTCAAATGCTACCTTGTCTTGTTGAAAACTTCAATGCTGGTAGCTGCATGTTTACCATCGCTACTGGTAAAGAATTTGTTGTTACTAGAAATGATATATGCGATGTGTTTTGCTTGCCTTTGAGTGATATTTGTGTTCCTGAACTTAATAAAAATTCTGAAGATGAAAGTGTAGATAAACGTATCATTCAGGCATGGAGATCTGATTATGGTCTTTCTGGTAAGCAACCTCTTCATTTGTCAAAATTGGAGTCTAGGATGGTTGATTTGGTTGATGGAGGGGAAGAATTTAAGAGGTGTTTTGTTCTTCAAGCTATGTCTAGCTTTTTAGCTCCTACTACTAATAGGACTGTTTCATTGAAGTTGCTGAAAGCTGTTGAAAAAGTTGATGAAATTAAAACTTTTGATTGGTGTTCATATGTTTTAAAAAAGTTAAAGAAGGCTGTTCAGAAGTATAAGGATGATGAAAATGCTCAAAATGTTAGTGGTTGTTTGCTGGCTTTGCAAATTATGTATTTTCATCGTCTAAATTTTCAAGGTGAAAAGGAAAGTAGTACTCTTCCTTTAATTCAACATTGGACGGATGTAAAGATTAAGAAGCGAATTAAATTAGAGATCAAAGCTAGTGGTTATGGGCAGGGACCATTGGATACTATTACATATCCTGTGTCACAGCTTAATTTTAGGGGAACTGTTTTTAAGCCAGCTCCTACTTTGGGTTATGATAAGGGTCCTTATACAAGTGGTACCACTGGTCGCATTGTTGCATTTGAGCTTCCAGAAGGTATTATGACCGATGAATAAATTAAAAAAATTTCAACTGATGTAAGTGTTCTGTTTTCTTATATGTTTAGTTATTATTGCTTTTTGTGTACAAAAGTTACCCTTTTTGTGTACAAAAGTTACCCTTTTTTGTGTACAAAAGTTACCGTTTTGTGTACAATAGTTACCCTTTTGTGTACAAAAGTTACCCTTTTTGTGTACCAAAGTTACCCTTTATTTGCACCGAAGTTACCCTTTAGTTGCATTAAAGTTATCTTCAATATTAAGTTAAAAGGGTTACTTTATTCATACAAAAGGGTAACTTTTTTCATTTAAAAGGGTCAGTTTATGCATTTAAAAGGGTCACTTTTAGCATATATTTAGATTTCCTACTTATTTTATTATTATTTTTATTTGTAACATTTTTTTTCATTGTTCATATGTTTGTAGGTTGTTCATGAAACGTTTCTTTTGTTTAAAAGAAATATGGATGTTTTATTATTTGTTCAGTCAACTGGTTTTCAAACCTTGAATGATCTGATTACTTCTCGCAGAAGTGTTTCATTATCTTCTGATGATTTTGTTTCAGTTTCTCAAACTGAACTGTTACTCTCTGATCCTCATTATTTGAAGATTTTAGATGGTTTAATTGATGAGTGTAATAAAATGAAGTCTGTACATGATATGTTTCGCGGTTTTTATGAACCTACAGAAGGTAACAAAGATTTTGTTCCTGAAAAAGAACCTGCACAAGATTTCAATGAAAATATTCCTAAGGATGATGACAATGGTCATGGAAAAATAGTTAATGAAGGCCTTAATGGTTCTGGACCTTCTGCTATCATTCCTGGTCCTACTCAAAATATTCCTGTCGGGAATATTGATCAAAATGAACCTCCTCGACTCAGAGCAAATAAATCTCTATGCTCTCTGGACTGTGAACATGTAGGTGTGCAGGTGCCTTTTGTAACTCTTTTTGTAAAGAGCAATGCTCGGATTTTCAAGAATTTGCCTCAGTTACATTTGGAAATTCTCGATTATTGTTTGCTGAAGGATGTTTCAATGGATAAGAAGTTAAGTGTCCTTTTTTATTATAATTATTTTTTTATCTGTTTTTTTTTCTTATATTTTTTTTAATGTTGATCTTATTTTTTATTGTTTCAGTGAGAGCCTTGTTACTTTTGGAATGAACTTTTTAATTCCAAGAGAAGACATGGTATCCCTTGTTGCTCCACTCGGGATTCAATGGTGCGTTATTGATTGCTTCTGTCTGTATTTGAATGAGAAAGCATGTTTTCAGGCTACTGGTCCTCGGAAATTCTTCTTCGGTGTTAGGCAGAGTGTAAGTTATTTCATTCCTTTTTTTATATCTTAACACATTTACTTTATATATATATATTATTGAGATCTTATACTTTAATAGTTTTCATTCTTGCATGTTTGTGACAATATTGGCAAAGGTAACATATCTAGTGCTGTTAAGGATTTGCACGACATATGGGAAGGTTGGGTTAGCTATGAGAATCCAGAATGTAATATAATGGATGTTGATCTAGTATTTTTATTCTAAACTTAATGTAATAAATTTAAAAGAGTTCTCTTTATGATATGCTCTGTTTAAATCTCTTTAATTTTGCTGTTTCAGATCTATTTTCCTGTTCTTATTGAGAATCACTACATTTTGTATGTTATTGATCATACAAAAGAGTTGGTATATTATCTTGACAACATTATCTGGACTGATTCTGCTCTTGTTTATACAAAAGAATTGTGTTCAAAGATGGTATGTTTATGTTTTTTTTTTTTGTTATGTTACTGTAGATTCATTGTTTCCATTTTAACTTTTTTGATTTTAATGTATTCTAAACTTTTATATTTTATGTCAGTGTGTTCAAATGGGTGCTTTTCTTGGCAAAAGAAATCATCCAAAGAGTTCTCAGCTACCTTCTTATGGTTTTGAAGTTGTTGAGTTGGAATGGAGAAAAGAAAAAGTTGACAATTTGGACTGTGGGGTCTTTGTCATGTATCACATGCTCCATTTTGTTGGTGAATCGTTCAAACTCAATGATCTCAAAACAATAATTATCTATATAGTTTCTGTAGTTTTTTCCTTTCTATTGCTTTTATTAATTACATATTGATAATTTTTATTTTTTTTGCTGATTTGAGATTAATGGAAGGAATTTTTTACGAGGAGAGATCTGTACCACACTGGTACTGTGTGATTTGAATGAATCTAGGAACGATGTGTTGTTAGAATTACACAAGTTCAATGAGAAGAAGAAAGATCCTGCTTATGTCAATGGAATTGAAGAAAGATTAAAGGCTGCAATTGCTGCAAAGAAGAAGAGAGAAACAGAAGAAAGAAAAATGGCAGCAGAAGCAGAAGCAAAGGCAGAGGGAGAAGAGGAAAAGAACAAAGGAAAAAGGGCAAAAAAGCAGGCAAAAAAGTTTACTCCTTCTAAATAGTGAAATAATTGATAGTTGTTAGCTGATTAGTTCAGGGGGTTTTTTTTAACAATGAAAAAACTTAATGTATGTGCATACATTAAGTTTAATGATGTAATTAAACTTAGTTTAAAGTCTTTAGTTGTTTTTGGAATACTGATGTATGTGAATACATAAAGTAATTAAAAGGTTTATTTTTATGTTTTTTATGGGGTAACTTTTATGCAGAAAAGGGTAACTTTTATTTATAGAAAGGGTAACTTTTATTTATAGAAAGGGTAACTTTTAAGCAAGAAAAAGGTAAATTTTATTGTTAGAAATGGTAATTTTAGCAATGAAAAGGGTCACTTTTATGTAGAAAAAGGGTCACTTCTATTCATGAAAAGGGACACTTTTTTCTGTAAAATAAAAGGGTCAGGGGTTTTATGCATGAAAATGATAACTTTTAGTGATAAAAAGGGTAACTTTTATTAACAGAAAGGGTAACTATTAGAAAAGAAAAGGTTGATTTAGTGGATAGAAAGGATAAAAAGGGTTACTTTTGTGGGTAGAAATAATAAGTTTATACATGATAAGGTATTCTTTTGTGGGTAGATAGTGTAACTTTTATGCATGGAAAGGGTAACTTTTATTGATAAAAGGGTTAACTTTTATTAACAGAAAAGGTAACTATTGCCAAAGAAAAGGTTGATTTAGTGGATAGAAAGGATAACTTTTATGCATGAAAAGGGTTACTTTTATACGTTAAAAGGGTAACATAAGTTGATGTGTTCCAATAATTAAACATGTGCTAATAAAAGTGTCAATCACATTTTCATTAAACTAGTCATAGAGTAAAAAAACAAAAGAAAAATAGTTTAACAATACAAGGTATATTAATTTCGAAAAAAAAAATGTTCTAAAAAAGATCTTAAAAGAGTCGTAAGTTAGGTGTCTTTGATCCAAATTCTGAATTTGGAGGTGGCAGTGCTGGTTTTCTTTTTCTCTTGCTTTTTTCAAGTCCTCCTTTTGCTCTCTTGCTTCTTCCTTTTGTTACAGCCCTTTTAGGATCAAGAATTATTGGTACACATGTGCTTGTACTCGATGTTGAAGAAGCGTCAATATTGCTTTGAGTGTTGTCTGCCACATCAGGAATGTTAGAAGCAGCTTCTGCACTTTCTTTCTGAGCAGCACTAGCAAGTAAGTCTTCCACCATTTTAAGACTGTTTCTGAAGCTTTCTTCCATAAATGCTCTTGTCTCTTCATTTTCTTGACTTTTTAAGATTAGATTGTAGTATTTCCTCATCATTGTTTGCCTCCATGGAATATATTGCTGTTTAGGATCCTGATTCTTCAACCTATCCCATGCCTCTGTTTTTGCAAACTTAGTCCATCTTTTTGAAACATACTTGTCTGGTATTCTTGTTACTGAATGCAAATGTAGAATTCTGATGCAATGATAACATAACCATCCAGATGCTTCAAAGTTTTTGCAAGTACACCATACAGTTTGGCTCTCTTGTATATAGTTTACTTGATGTGCAGACCATGGCTTGTCTTCTAGTGTTACTTGATAAAGTAGGCATTCTTCATTACTGCCTAACATCTGAACAGTTGTTGCCATAGAGTATCCAAACTCCTCTTCAAAATTTCTAAAGAGTGATAAAGTGAAAACCTGTACATCAAAATCATGTAGCTTCATTTAAATTGCCATATATTAGGTGTAATTTATGTACTTGTCAGTTAACTTTTTACCTGTGCAGCATGCTTTAGCATTCCAGATAGAGGCAATGAAGTGAATGCTATTGACTTGCTACAGGTAAACTCATCATATTTCTCTGTGCTTCTCCAACGATTAGTTGTCTTCTTAAATATGGTATAAAATTCTGTCAAAGTAGTTGCTTTACTTACTCTGAATCCTATGGCATGATTAGTGCTTTCACTCCTTTGTGACGATAAGATCCCTGATGAAAAGAAATCTCTACAAAGGGCAGGACACCATTTGTCTTTCAACTCATACACTCTTTTGTACCAAGAGTGTTCTGTCAACTCATATTTTTGCAACATTGCTTGCCACTTTGCTTCGAATTCTTGTTCTGTCACACACATCTTTAAGCACTGGTTGAATGCAAATTTGAATTCTTTGTCTTTTTTAAGAGCTCCAAATCTGGTTATGGCATTTTGCTCCAAATGCCATATACAAAGTCTATGTCTTGTATTAGGAATCACCTGCATTGAAAATAAAGGGGTCACTTTATGCTGTTAAAAGGGTTATTTTATGCACTAAAAAGGGTAACTTTATGCAGCTAAAAGGGTAACTTTATGTGAAAAAGGAAAACTTTATTGTCATAGCTCAAATCTGTAAGATGTCAATATAAATCTTTTACCTCCAGTATAGCATTTTCCATTGCTTGGTCCTGGTCAGTGAATATTGAAGTTGGTTTTCTATCCTCCATAGCTTTGAAGAAGGTTTTAGTAACCACACAAATGAATCTGTCGTTTCATCCCCAATAAAAGCACAAGCAAACATACAATTATGCCAGTGGTTATTTATGCCAACAAATGGAGCACATATAAGATTATATCTGTTGGTTCTGTATGTTGTATCAAAGACAAGAACATCTCCATATATCCTATAGTCTTCTAGCATCATTGAATCTCTCCAAAAGATATTGCAAATTCTTCCTTCTTTGTCAAACTTCACTCTAAAAAAGAAGTTTGGATCCTCTGATTGTTCCTGACTTAAAATGTTCACTAAAGTTTGAGCATCTCCAGCCTCAATTTGTTCCATTCTTAACCTTGAGCAGAAATTCAGGTGATCTACAACACTATGGCCTATATTGTGTTCTCCTCCAGCCTCTGTAGCCATGTAATTGTAAGTGTCCATTGTAGTTAGACCTGAAGATTTCATTGTTTTGATTGTTATAACTTTTTCCTCTGTCATTTTTCTTTCAGAACGATGCAAATAATGCCACTGTGGCTTTGTTAGCTCGTGGTTATGCTGAATAACATGAGCCACCACCTCAAACTGTCCTTCTTTATTCACTTTTGCTCTTATGCATGCCTTGCAATTTGATCTTGTAATGGATACTTGTCTTGGCTTTCTTGTTTTTACATTTACATCCTCTTCATCAACCATTTCAACTAACTTTGTTTTCTTCTGACCTGAATGTCTCTTTCCCTCAGCAGAACACACATAGTTTTTCTCAGTTACTATTTTTGTGTGTTGTTTGAATCTAGTTGTATGTTTTCTTATTGAAAACCCCAGTATAGCAGCATGTTTTTCATACAATTCCAAAATTTCTTCAAAAGTTTCTCTTACCACACCAACAAATGATCCTCTAAGATCTAAACCATAAGCATCAATTGGATTTGTATCTGTTATTTAATACAAACAAATCAGATAATAACCACAGACAGCGTAAAAAAAAGGGTAACATTCGTTTGAAAATAGGGTAACTTTTATGCATGAAAAAGGTAACATTTTGGCATTGAAAGGGTTACTTTTTGCATACAATCTGAATTTTCAGCATACAATCTGAGTGTAACATTTAAGCATGAAAAGGGTAACATTTAGGCATTCTCACGGCTCTGAGTTACTTGTAAGATCATCAAGGATATGATTAAATCTTAATTGTCTTTCTCTGCTCACACTTTCCCCTATAAACACGAATCTAAGCCCTTCATTTGGTTTTCCACTTTCCTTTTTTTTTTTTTCCTGTCTATCCTTTTTAATAATCCACATTTAAAAGTATTTTGTATTTAATAAATAATTGTATTAGACCCTGTTTTAGTTCACCTTAAATAAAAATATTCAGTAAAAATAATTTCAATTTAACAAAAATAAGTTTGATTTAGTAAAATTAATTTCAGTTCAGTAAATATAATTTCTGTTCAACAAAGATCAGCAACTCTAAAGAATAAATATAATAGAGAATTAGTAAAAATAACTTCAATTTAGTAAAATTAATTTCAGTTCAGTAAAAACAATTTAAATTCTATAAAATTAATTTCAATTCAGCAAAAGTAAGGTAAAGAAAACGGGCCTTACAGTAATTTAAGTAGTACTTAATTGTTTTTTTTTTTCAGACTATTTTATTTTATGAAAGGTGACATTTTATTTCTTTCTAAAAAGCTGATTTAGAGATTTCTGATTTGTATCTTGTTCAAAAAAAAAAAAAAAAAAAAAAAAAAAAACCTAATCTTTTTCTAGAAAAAGTGAAGAAGCTTTTTGTATTTATCTTTAAATACTAGAATTATTAAGTAATTTCCTTAAAAATTACGATATAATGAGTTGTTGATGACTCTGTAGCTTATTCACATTCCTTTTGTTAGTAGAAAAATACAAAAAAGCAAAATAAAAAATAAATATAAACAGAATTGAGGTAAGAAGTCAGATTGGTTTACTAGATATTTGGCATTATTGGTCTAAATTGGCTGTTTGATTCATTGGAAAATGGAAACTTTATTTTGGTTTTGGTAAGTTTTTCCAAAGTTTAGGGATTTATAAACTTGATATTGGGGAGACTCGTTGACATAGAGTTGTACAGTTTTAGAGAGAAAGATAAAGTTTTAGTGAGAGAAAAAATGGGTTCTTATGGAAAACTGGCAAGGAGGGCTTTGGAGACTGAATCACCAGTTATGGTTCAGGTAACAGTTGTAAATTTTCGATTTTTTTTTTTGTAAATTTTGATTTTTTCTTTTAGTTTTGTTTTTAGCATTCCAAGTAAATGCGAAATTCGAAATGGGGTTGTCTTGTTAATCTCAAAAGTATAATTTTTTTTATTTTTCAGTAATTTGAGGTTTTTTCTTTTTAAAATTTTGATTTAGTTTTTCTGGGTCTGAATGTTTGTGCAGATACAAGAATTATACAGGGCTACCAAAGATGCAGTGTCCTTGGCTCAGGTTTGTGAGTTTTTCTTTCATTTCCTGAAATTTTTTTGGGAGTGTTATTGATTCAAACTGATTAACTTTATGCAGTATGATCATTCATGTTGATTGCTAATTTTCGATGATTTTGGGTGTTCGGAGCTATAGAATTATCGCGAATTCTTGTATTAGACGGTCTGATGGCTGATTAGGCCAAGGTTGTTGTCATGGGGATCGAAAATTTCTCAGTTTTCCACATTTAATTTTATAGAATAAGCTATTTCTTATGTGAATTTTGCCCAAATGTATACGTTGACTTTGACTTGGACTTGGTGATGCTTGCTTCAAGTCTTTAGAAATTGTATTGTGTAAGGCTGTGGACTATCTTTAAGTCTTGAATAGCTATGATGGTGATGTGTTTTTTTGCCACTAAGTGAAGTAAAGGGCTGATTTTGATGTATGGTAGCTGGAATAAAACTTGGAAGGACTTTCCTGTTTTCCAGGATTGTTCGCGGAAAATTTTATTAAAACATGTTGCTGGCCGCCTGACCCCTTTAAGGCTTTACATAGCTTTATTGGCCCTCAATGGAACTTATTATTTTCTGTTGTTTATAAGCTCGTATATGGGAACTTTATTTTCTAATCTAGAAGACTTGAACTTAAATGAACTTGTAATCTCTAAAACTTGTTTTTGTAAGGTGAAAACAAAGCCTGAGTGGTTAAGAATTCATCGGTTATGTTGTCTTGGGAATATGGATTAGTCATGGTATGTCCTTTGTACTTTGTTTGGATTGAAGGAAATGGAGGGAAAGGAAGGGAAGGAAAAAGGAGGGATGAAGTATCAGAATTGGTGGGAAGAGAAATGGAGAGATTAAATTGTAAGAAATTGATCTCTCCAACAATGGAGGGATTTGGAAGGGAAATTCATCATTCTTCCCTCCCCTTCCTTTCCCTTCCCTCCCCCTCACCTCACTCCCCTTATTCACTCTTGTATATGATAGAGTACCATAGAAACTTTGCAAGCTGCAAATTCCAAAGCGGCTTCATATTTAGTATATTGAAAATTAAGCATTGTGTGGAATAGCTGTTAAGTAAAGTTCCAAACTAGTGGAGCTTTTAGGTCTGTGAGTAAGAGGACGGACCTTTAATTAAGGCTAAACAACTCCAATAGTTGGAACAAAGTAATCTATAGATTTTTTTTAAAGTTGATGGGCACACTGTCAAAATTATAAGCTGACTAAAAGAATGTGGATGGGAAAGATAACTAGTAAAAGAAAAAACCTCCATTAGCCCTTTAGTAGCGTATGTTTATCTAAAAATCAACTAGAGTTTGAAAAATAGTATTGAGCATCTAGTCATGAGCAAGTGCCTGGACTTTCTGCTATCAAGAAATTGTTGCTGAATGAGCTTAGATTATATGCTCTTGAATCATGTACTTCGTTCATTATGTGTCATAAAAAAAAAAAAAAATAAATAAAAAAAAAACAAAAAATCTAAATTTAAGTGCTCGACATTTTTATTTATTGTATGAGTATGATTTCTGATCTTTGTCAGCTGCAAATAAAGGTTTACTCTTGAATATAATTTAAAATTTGCGTGTCTGTTTTGCTCAACAAGTATGCAGTCAGCTACAAAGTATTTGAGAGAATCAGTTTGTCAAGATCTCTTTCTTCCCCCCCCCCCCTCTTTATTAGGTGGGAGTTGGTAGTGGGTAGTGGTCTAGTGGAGGGAGACTCCATATCTATCAGACTATCGGCCACCTTTCTGGATTAAGTTCACTGTGGCTTGCTTGTTTAAAGTTGATATTTTGTTTAGCAGATTGGAATCCTTTACGTATCTTTTGAGAGTTACAGTTGGTCCTTTATTTTGACAGTCCTCACTTTCTAAACTTTTTGTGTAGGGCGTCGTATATTGGCAGCCACCGAAACAAGCATTGAACAAGGTAAAGGAGCTTGTATGTGAGCCTAGCATTAGTCGGTATGGTGCTGATGAAGGCATCCCTGAGCTTAGAGACGCCCTGATGAAAAAGGTGAAAATTTAAAATCTTAAGAACATGATTAATTTCAACCCCTGCATTAACGCACCGGTGTTTTGAATAGTACGGTGCTTGCCTTAGTGTTTGCTGATTTATTCATCTTACATTCAAAGAATCGATGCTTGCTGACTAGTTTTTCTCTTACACTCTACTTAACTGCATGTGTTGTTTCACTGTTCTCATGCTTTGTGATATAAAATTCGCTTAAGCCGATGAAGATTTTGAATAAGTGTTTTGTTGCTGAAAAGTATGAATTTAGAATTGTGATTGTTAAATGATACTAGCCAACTTGGTTACGTTGCTGATATGTATGCTTTCAACCATCACAACCTTAAACTTTGATGGCAATATGCGTGATTGCGTGATATCTCTTAGTTGTTGAGGGGTTTTGGGAATGCTGGTCTCTATCTCCCTCTCCCTTGGCTTTGTAGTTTGCTCGTCTATTTTTGTCTACATGTGCCCTCCTTACCCCCAAAGGATAAAAAAGAAATAGTTAGGCATAGAATAAAATATATAAGGCCTACGCTGCTAGTAGTTGTTCTATCTTCAATTCGTCATGCTTAAATATCTAAGCATTTTGGCTGTAGCTCAGTATCATTGTATTTGAGTTAGTTGTGGACAGAGGTTTCTTTTATCTTCTTTTCTGCCCATTATTAATTGTGTATCAGTATATGTCATCCTTTATTTTCCTGGGGCTCATCCTGTATTGAGATCACCATAACATTATCTAAATTAAAATCCTCCAGTACATGTCGCTGTCACTTAAAAGGTGCTTAGATGATTAGGTCTTGGCCTAGGAGCACCTGTTAAATGCACATTTCTTCTTTAGAATTTAACATTGTTCTGTGATTCTCACTTTTGCAGTTGCAGACGGAGAATCAGCTGAACAAATCAAAGATTATGGTTACAGCTGGTGCAAACCAGGTTAGTAGAACTGGTTCTTTTTCTCTTGTGGTGACATCGTGATTTGTAAAGCAGGCTGGTATTTTGAAATTTTATGATTGTCATGCGCCACCTGATTATCATCTATTATCTTCAATTCTCCATATTCACATTCTCTTGAATTTTTTTTTGCATATTTTTTTGTTTTTATGGTCTATTTTCTTTGGGTTATGAATCTTATGATAGTTTAATTTGACTTTTGAGCTCTGCTTGGCCCGAAGTCTATTTGAGCTGTTAATGATTCAATTTGAGCTCTTCTAAGCAATTCCAAAAAGCTCAATTTATGCACAAATTCCAGGAAGTAGAGCTATCTACAAAATATTTAGCACTTCAAGTATAGTAATGCCCCAAAAGTATGTTTAATAATCATTGTAATAATGTTCAAGAACTCTTTGTTAATTTAATCAACAGATTATTTTTGGTTGATTCTGAAGTTTATTGTCTTTTGGATATTTGGTTGCAAATACAAAGACGAATTAAGTTATAAATACCGGGATCTACTTGAGAGCAACTTGATTGAAATTAAACTAGAGCTCAACTTGATCTATCTTGGTAACTATCTGAGTTGAGCAGATCTAGATAATAGCTCAATCAGCTAGTTATCTTCTGTAAATTTAAGTATGGTAGTATTGGTTTCAGCTTCACTTCCAGCTTTTAAATTTACAAGTAGCTAAGTACTGTCATTGATTGGTTTCAGCTTCACTTCCAACTTTTATATGTATGAGTA